TGCAATAGGCTTTAAGATTCCACATGTTATCCCGTAATTCTCATTCGCTGAGCCTCGGCACACTAGTGTGCCGCGCGATCCCTTGAAGTGTGCCGTAAAATGTTGTCACTATATATATATATATATATATATATATATATATATATATATATGTATGAAAAAAATATACGGAAAAAACAAACAAAAATTCTAATATGCAATTATGCTGTTTTAATGTTCATTCAAAATACTCTATTTTAGGAATACGTTTTCACAACATCGCCCACGTGATGCCGACGTGATCATATTGAAACGGAACTCTGATCTTGAAAATTTTCAGTTATCTGTTTTGATTAGTCTTACTCCTCCCCTTTATTGGCCTCGTGCCACAATTTGTACTTTTCGTAAGAATAAATATCAGTCTTACTCTTATGTCCATCGTCTTTTCATGTTGAATTAAATATAGTCTAATGTTAATTATGTTTTATGAATATGTCCTGAAGATGGTCTACTAGACCGAAACGTCCGACGTTGACATTATATTAACATTAAAACAGCATAATTGCATATTAGATTTTTTTTTTTTTTTTTTTCCGTATATTTTTCTTCATACTGTCGGATCTATATCCATATATTTGCTTACATATATATGTATGTATGTATTCCAAAAATAAAATTCAAGTAGCCCACGTTTCGATTGATTTTTTTTTTTTTTTGAGACATCGAATATCTATTGAGCGTATTTGATAGAGGTTCTCCTAACCAGAAAAAAACACTAAATTTTTCGTAATGTTCACGTATTTTCTCACTTGTACTATATATATATATATATATATATATATATATATATATATATATATATATATATATCCAAGTATAGGATTGGTGTATACAGAATAAATTCCAATAACCAAAAAATGCTATTCTTAAAAGGCTGCTCAATACAGAGTAGAGGAAATATAATTGTTTATTCGAAAATTATAGCATAAATATTTTATAGAATCACTACAAAATAGCCATTTTGTTTCAACACTTCTGGAGTCTTATCCAGTGATGGTGTTGAATGTAGAATTCTAGTGATTTGTAGCGATTTTATAATATATTTATGTTATAATTTTCGAATAAATAATTATATATATATATATATATATATATATATATATATATATATATATATATATATATATATATATAAAAACAATGCATAATATATATTTAAAAAATACTCATTACAACCAAAATCTTTTGCGGTTTCTCTCTTCTTTTTAATATATACACTTTTCTCTCGTTAATCTCTTCCCTTTACACACACACACACACACACACACATATATATATATATATGTGTGTGTGTGAGTATGTATGTGCAAGTTGTAATGGCACAGGGTTAGAGTTTGAATAAATGTTTAAATATTAAACTTTTCAAATAATTCTTTTCCCAATGTTCCTTCTAATATTGGGCTTCAGTTTCATGAAGAACAAGAATTGGCCACCATTTCTAGTGATCGACGGCTCAAAATAAAACATTCGACGGCACCCATTCGTACATTTTGGATTTCAATACAAAAGGAATCTCCCACATTGGCTAGAAAGGGTTTCTTTTTATCGGTTTTGGTATAATTTTCTGTTTCTTATGAGAATTAGGCTTCTCGAATCTAAATAACATCCAAAATTAAAACGGCGAATGACTACACTCAACTGAAGAAGAAATGAAAGTCTGCTTATCGCACATTTGTCCAAATATTAAAGAAATTGCGAAAAGACACCGGGCACAGATTTCACACTAAATAAGCTGCACAAATATTTAAATAGAAACATTGAAATAAATTAAATTTATATTTGGTTTTTAATTTTTTTAAATCTATGATTTTATTTCCAAACATTTAAATGTATACCCTTTTGTTGCTAAGTGTGCTGTGATATTTTAATTTGCTAGGTGTGAGAAACATTGCTCTAAATATACAAGACAAAATGGAGGCCGAAAATTAAGTACTGTTGCCAATATAAGCAGAAACTGCCAGGCCCTCCCTTTCCACCTTTGACAGAGTCCAAAAGCCTATTCAAAGAATTATTTATCATCCTCCAACCCCCCTCTCTCTCTATCTCTCTCTCTCTCTCTCTCTCTCACCCACACACACACACAGAGGCGGAATGTGGCGAGTCTCTCACTGCTCTGCCGTTACTACAATGGAAAGTGCTCGGACGAACTTCATTCTTTGATTCTACTAGGTCAAACCTTCACGGCTAGGACCCGCCATGACACTTACATCGTAGCAAACCACTTGCATTCCCTCCGAATACCATCGGTGAGAAATAAGTTCCACTCGAACAGATTTTTCTCGCGAACTACTTCCTTTTGGAACGGACTCCCAAGAGGATGTTTTCCTCGGTTACTACTATCTTAACCTGTTAAAGACTAAGGTTAACCGTTATATTTCCTTTCTATCCGTATCAACTGCCCTTAAACATAAACATCTACCTCGAACATGGCGAAGCTTACTGAAAAAAGAGAAAATACAAAGACAAATCAAGATACCACGTTGGCGTTTGTATAATAAGACACCGTATTTCTGAAGCTAAAATCACGGAGTCCTTGAATATAATACGACACCGTATTACGTCTGTTACAGTCCCCGGCAGGAGCTCGCTCTGTTGCAAGGAACTTGAAAATAATATAACCTCAAGTTGAAGAGGGACGAATGGAAATAATAATATAAAATAAATATAGGTAAGTGTACGAGCAAGCATTCGTATACAAATACATACATACATACATACATACATACATACATATATATATATATATATATATATATATATATATATATATATATATATATATATAATAAACATAAAACATTAGGTAGCATATGATTTACATACAAAGAATAATCACACATAGAATTAATCAGAAGTATTAATGCGATTATTGGCGACATCTATCGCCAGAAAACATAATATATGCATTAAAATCCTGTTCATCCATAGTGCGAGTTTTGATCCTTGACGAAAGACTTGTTGTCTATAGTTTTTCAGTTTATTTGATGTTAAAATGCATTTTTCGTCAAGGATCAAAACTCGCACTATGGATGAAGAGGATTTTAATAAGAACTAATACGGCAGAAATTTATGAAAACAAGTATCAATTCATTCATAACGGATTCGGAGGTTTTTGTATATTATTTGAATTGTTTGCGATGATGGATTTCTCGCCAATTAAATCATTAACCTTTGCTTTTGTTTTTGTGTGAATAATTCATGAATTTGTAAATTGATTGCACGTTTATCGTAATATATATATATATATATATATATATATAGTTTATGAAAAACTAGGTAATCCGTATGAGTAAACCCAAGGAGGATAAAATCCCGAGAGCTCAATGTAAATCCAGAGCAAATAATTTAAATAAAAACAGACCACTTTAAGGTTCCATGTAATAAATTATTTCACCACAGCCTTTTAAAAGGACTGTGGATCATTAGACTTTACTTCCATTTTTTATTTCAACCTTTGGAAGTAAGGTCTGATTATCCGCATTCCTTTAAAAGGGCTGTGGTGAAATAATTTATTACATGGAACCTCAATCTGGTCTGTTTTATATATATATATATATATATATATATATATATATATATGTGTGTGTGTGTGTGTGTGTGTGTGTGTGTGTGTGTTTGTTAACGAAATTTTCGGTTTGCTTGGAAGGCTTTAAGTCATTATTCAGCCCGCGGACAAATAAAATGATAAGTTAGCGGCTTTAAGGATATATACATGTATTTTTTGTATTTAGGCAGCAATCCTTCCTTTATGCATGTCTCATTAAAAACGACAGACAAGGTATTACGATTAAGGTTTCTATTTAATTTTTCTTGTGCTCGAAAAATTGTTTTCTTTTTTGGAAACAAAGTGTGAAGAAACTGTCCAAATATTCTATAATTCCGAGCGTTCTCGGCTATACTTTTAGCCATTATATATATATATATATATATATATATATATATATATATATATATTAGACAATTGAATGACAAATTGGTAAAATTCAGTATAAGTAATTTTATCCTCTCACAGGACTTCATGATGATGGAACAATTTTAAGTTCCGAAACATAGAATTTTTTATGTATCGATGTAATATATTTTAAAGTATATTATTATTATAATATATATTTTTATATATATATATATATATATATATATATATATGAGTGTGTGTATGTGTTTCATTAAAAACGATATACAAGGTACTCCGATTAAGCTTTTTATTTAATTTTTCTTGTGTTCGAAAAAGTGGTTTCTTTATTGGACACAGAGCGTGTAGAAACTGCAAATGTTCTATAATTCTGAGCGCTTTCGGCTATACTTTTCGCCATTATCAAGGTTGATTTTATTTTTTCAGTTTAATTGAGCATATGCGCCGTGTCTGCATTTTTAGTGTTATAAAGATGTTTCATTTTGCGAACACGGTTAGCACATTGTGGCGGTGTTCGTAGTTAATATTGTTAAGTGTTGGCTTTTTCTTTTTTGTTATTCGGGCTTCCATTATTTTAAATCTATTTTTACAGCTAGATGAGGTTATTATGTTTGTGCTTTCTACAAGTGTGTAGTAATTTTACCTACGAAGTTTGTTAAAAAAAATTCTTATTCTTAGATGTTCTCGTAGAATATAGTAATAACACATTTATCTCCTCATTATATATAAAAAAAAACACTAGCAGAAACTCTTAACTT